GAGGAGCCCCAGGATCCACTGGGAGGGATCAGGGTGGCTCTGCCCTGTCTCTCCCAAGGGATTTAGGGCCATGGGGAGGCGCTGGGGATGCACCCCAAGCCCTTGGGGTGAGGCTGGGCCATGACCATCTCCCTCCATCCCCACAGGCAACCACAACCGTTTCAACCCAGCAAAATCCTCCACCTTCATCAGCACCAACGAGAGCGTCTACATTGCCTATGGCACTGGTAGCCTGTCCGGCGTCCTGGGCTATGACACTGTCAATGTAAGGCCCCGTGCCCCAGCTCCCCCATCCCATGGCATTGAGGACATTGGGACACCCAACCCGAGCCTTTCTCCCTGGTTCTTTACCCAGGTTGCAGATATCGAGGTCTACAACCAGATCTTTGGGCTCTCTGAGACCGAGCCTGGGGACTTCTTCTACTACAGCCCCTTCGATGGCATCCTGGGGCTGGCTTTCCCCAGCCTCGCCTCTTCTGGAGCCACCCCTGTCTTTGACAACATGATGAACGAAGGGCTTGTGGCCAGGGACCTCTTCTCTGTCTACCTGAGCAAGTGAGTCCTGGCCAGAGCCACCCAAACCCATGGGGAGCATCTCCTCCAGTGCTGACTCCAGGACCATTCCCTGGCACTGTGCCTCCTAGGGACATGCTGCTGGTGGCATCGCCATGGTGATGGTGATGGGGATAGGGCCCTCATCTGATGGGTTTCCCCTTTACAGGAATGAGGAGAGTGGCAGCTTTGTCCTCTTTGGTGCCATCGACCCCTATTATGTCACCAACGGCATCTCTTGGATCCCCCTCTCTGCTGAGACCTACTGGCAGATCACCATGGACAGGTAGCCCTGGGGCAGCAGATGCTGAGTTTGGGGGTGCAGCACCCAGGAACCTCACCCTATGTCCCTTTGTCCCCAGAGTCTCCATCATGGGCAGGGCTGAACTCTGCCAGGACAGCTGCCAGGCCATTGTGGACACAGGCACCTCACTGCTGGCCATGCCCAATGAGTACCTCACTGTGGTCCTCCGTGCCCTTGGTGCCACCTCCAATGGCGAGGTGAGAGCCAGGGGAGCACACAGAGCTTTGGGGCTCCCATGGGGTGACCACTGACCCCCCACCTCCACTTACCACCGTGTCCCCCCCACCCCAGATTGACTGCGAATACAGGAACAGCCTGCCTGACATTGTCTTCTACATCAATGGAATGGAGTTCCCTTTGACACCCAGTGCCTACGTGACGGAGGTGAGCATCCTGCTGGGATGGGGACTGTGAGGGCTTAGGGTGGAGATCCAGGAGCTGGGAATCACCATAAACCATGGCCTTGCCTGCAGAGCAATGGGGTCTGCAGCCTGGGCTTTCAAAGCATGAATGTCCCCACTGAATCCGGTGAGATGTGGATCCTGGGGGATGTCTTCATCCGTGAGTACTACGTGATCTTCAGCAGGGCCAAGAACATGGTGGGCCTGTCCCGCCTGTCCTGAAGGACAGGGCAGTGCTGCCCCACTGCCCTGCAGCCCCAGCTTGGCAGCTCCCTGCCACCTTCTGCCATAGCCACCAATAAAGCTGTATAGAAGCACCCTTGGGTTGTGTCTTTGGGCTCAGGTGCCACCACGTCCCTGGGCATGGACCATGGGCAGGTTGGTGCCACCTTCACCCCCCTGATGATGCTCTTGACCATGCAAACATGGCCAAGGCTCCCAAACCCCTTCCTCAGCACCATTCCCTATGAGCAACCTGCAAAGGTCCTGTCTGGATGCTCTGATGATGCTCTTGGCCATGAAAACATGGCCCAGGCTCCCAAACCCCTTCCTCAGCACCATTCCCTTAGGAGCATCCTGCAAAGATCCTGTCTGGATGCTCTGATGATGCTCTTGACCATGCAAACATGGCCAAGGCTCCCAAACCCCTTCCTTAGCACCATTCCCTATGAGCAACCTGCAAAGGTCCTGTCTGGATGCCCTGATGATGCTCTTGACCATGCAAACGTGGCCAAGGCTCCCAAAACCCTTCCCTTAGGAGCAACCTGCAAAGGTCCTGTGTGGATGCCCTGATGATGCTGTTGGCCATGCAAACGTGGCCAAGGGTCCCAAAACCCTTCCCTTAGGAGCATCCTGCAAAGGTCCTGTCTGGATGCTCTGATGATGCTCTTGACCATGCAAACATGGCCAAGGCTCCCAAACCCCTTCCTCAGCACCATTCCCTTAGGAGCAACCTGCAAAGATCCTGTCTGGATGCTCTGATGATGCTCTTGACCATGCAAACATGGCCAAGGCTCCCAAACCCCTTCCTCAGCACCATTCCCTTAGGAGCAACCTGCAAAGGTCCTGTGTGGATGCCCTGATGATGCTCTTGACCATGCAAACATGGCCAAGGCTCCCCAAACCCTTCCTCAGCACCATTCCCTTAGGAGCATCCTGCAAAGGTCCTGTCTGGATGCTCTGATGATGCTCTTGACCATGCAAACGTGGCCAAGGCTCCCAAAACCCTTCCCTTAGGAGCAACCTGCAAAGGTCCTGTCTGGATGCTCTGATGATGCTCTTAACCATGCAAACGTGGCCAAGGCTCCCCAAACCCTTCCTCAGCACCATTCCCTTAGGAGCATCCTGCAAAGGTCCTGTCTGGATGCTCTGATGATGCTCTTGGCCATGCAAACGTGGCCAAGGCTCCCCAAAACCCTTCCCTTAGGAGCAACCTGCAAAGGTCCTGTCTGGATGCCCTGATGATGCTCTTGACCATGCAAACATGGCCAAGGCTCCCAAAACCCTTCCTCAGCACCATTCCCTTAGGAGCATCCTGCAAAGATCCTGTGTGGATGCTCTGATGATGCTCTTGACCATGCAAACATGGCCAAGGCTCCCCAAACCCTTCCTCAGCACCATTCCCTTAGGAGCATCCTGCAAAGATCCTATGTGGATGCCCTGATGATGCTCTTGACCATGCAAATGTAGCCAAGGCTCCCAAACCCCTTCCTCAGCACCATTCCCTTAGGAGCATCCTGCAATGGTCCTGTCTGGATGCCCTGATGATGCTCTTGACCATGCAAACGTGGCCAAGGCTCCCAAAACCCTTCCTCAGCACCATTCCCTAGGAGCAACCTGCAAAGATCCTATGTGGATGCTCTGATGATGCTCTTGACCATGCAAACGTGGCCAAGGCTCCCAAACCCTTCCCTTAGGAGCATCCTGCAATGGTCCTGTCTGGATGCCCTGATGATGCTCTTGGCCATGCAAACGTGGCCAAGGCTCCCAAACCCTTCCCTTAGGAGCATCCTGCAAAGATCCTGTCTGGATGCTCTGATGATGCTCTTGACCATGCAAACATGGCCAAGGCTCCCAAAACCCTTCCCTTAGGAGCAACCTACAAAGGTCCTCTGTGGATGCTCTGATGATGCTCTTGACCATGCAAACGTGGTCAAGGCTCCCCAAACCCTTCCTCAGCACCATTCCCTTAGGAGCATCCTGCAGAGGTCCTGTCTGGATGCTCTAATGATGCTCTTGACCATGCAAACGTGGCCAAGGCTCCCCAAACCCTTCCTCAGCACCATTCCCTTAGGAGCATCCTGCAGAGGTCCTGTCTGGATGCTCTGATGATGCTCTTGACCATGCAAACGTGGCCAAGGCTCCCAAACCCCTTCCCTTAGGAGCATCCTGCAAAGGTCCTATGTGGACACAATGAAGTCCCCACTGGGACAAGACACATCCCTCCTGTCCCCAAACCCAACTTAGGGGGGGCTGCACACCCCAAATCCCCCTCCATTGACACCTAGAGCAGCCCTATAGTAGGTACAAGCAGGAGTAAGGGGAGAGGGCATAAATACCAGGGTGACTTTATTGGTGTCAGGGAGGGCAGGTTCCCTGTCCCCAGGCCAGGAGCTGGGGCAGCAGCAGCACCCCAGGGGTGCATGAGGCACTTGGGGGGCTGGTGTGGGGCTGGGGGTCCCCAGGGATGCTCCAGGGCTTCCCTGCACCATCCTGCTGGGAGGATCCAGCCTTTGGGGCTGGGGTTCCCTATGGATGCTCCAGGGAGATGGGGGGATGCTCCTGGGGGACCCCAGCATCCCAGGGTGGATGGGGACCACGCAGCCTCTGCCTGAGAGACAAGCAGTGCCCATGCACCCATGGGAGGTGGGATGCACCCATGGGAGGTGGGATGCACCCATTGGACATGGGATGCACCCATGGGAGTCAGGATGCACCCATGGGACCTGGGATGCACCTATGGGAGCCAGGATGCACCCATGGGACATGGGATGCACCTATGGGAGCCAGGATGCACCCGTGGGACATGGGATGCACCTATGGGAGCCAGGATGCACCTATGGGAGTCAGGATGCACCCATGGGACATGGGATGCACCTATGGGAGCCAGGATGTACCCATGGGACATGGGATGCACCTATGGGAGCCAGGATGCACCCATGGGACATGGGATGCACCTATGGGAGCCAGGATGTACCCATGGGACATGGGATGCACCTATGGGAGCCAGGATGTACCCATGGGACATGGGATGCACCTATGGGAGCCAGGATGTACCCATGGGACATGGGATGCACCTATGGGAGCCAGGATGCACCCATGGGACATGGGATGCACCTATGGGAGCCAGGATGCACCTGTGAGAGCAGGGGTACACCCTTGAAGCTGGGATGCACTTATGGGAGCCGGGATGCACCCATGGGAGCTGGGATGCCTCCATAGGAGATGGGATATACCCACTGCAGCCAGGATGCACCCATAGAGCTGGGATTCACTTATGGGAGCCAGGATGTACCCATGGGAGATGGGAGGTACCCACACTGGAGCCAGGATGCACCCATAGAGCTGGGATGCACCTATAGGACCTGGGATGCACCCATAGGATCCAGGATGCTATTGCCCACCCCTATCTGCTTGGCACCCCCTCCCCTGCCACCCATCAGCCCAGGGGCCTGGTGGGCCAGACCTGCTGGTCCTGCAGACCCCTTCCCCTCCTCTTCCTCCTCTTCATCCTCACTTGGTCCCTATGGGGCATCCCCTCTGCCCTCCGTGTCCCTGGGGGGTCCCTGAGCTCTGGGGCTGCCTGTGGGAGCCGGGGGGGCTCCGGCCTCAGAGGGGGCATTGGGGGGCAGAGATGGGTGCCCCGAGGGGCTCAGCGTGGCCTCGGGGGGGTCCCCAGCCCCTGCACCCCATAAAGAGGGGCTGGGGGGGGGGGCGGTGTTGGGGAGCAGGAGCTGGGCCAGGCGAGGCCGGAGGGGGTGGGATGAGGGGGGGGGCGTTGGGGTTGCAGTGGGGGTGTCCTCATGGCTTGGGGTCAGGGATGGGGATGGGGATGGGGATGGGGATAAGGATGCGGATGGGGATGGGGATGGGGATGCGGATGGGGATGGGGATAAGGATGCGGATGGGGATGGGGATGGGGATGGGGATGGGGATGCGGATGGGGATGATGGGGATGGGGCCAGGTCACTGCTCTGCAGCGGGAGCCGGACGTCTGTGGCTATGGAGAGATGCTTTGTGTTAGCACCCATCTCCCCCTTGGGGACCCCCATGGGCTGGATGGGTGCACCCCCAGAGCAAAAAGGGGGGGGGTGTCCCCATTTGACCCCCATCACCCCGAGCATCACCTGGAGCCGGGCAGGGCGCAGCGAGCTCCGCGCAGGACCGGGGGCACAGCCTCTGCTCGCAGCTCACCTCCCCGAGCTGGTACCGAGGGGAAGGCTGGGGGTCAGCCCCCCCCCAACTCCATCACCCCCCCATTGCCACCATCACCCCCATGTCCCCGTCCCATTCACCTGGCAGGTACAGCGGGTGCAGGGCTGGCCCTCGGGGGTGAAGCTTTGGCCATTCCCCACCTTCCGACCTTGGTAGTTGCAGTCTATGGGGGGGGGAAGTGATGGAGAGGGGGTGATGGGGGGGACACACACATAAGGTAAGGCCAGGACCCCCCCTGGTTGTCCCCTTTGGTCCCTACCGTTGCAGACAGGGCAGCACTCGCCCTCGGGGTGGAAGGGGTACGTGCAGAAGATGGCACAGTCCATGGGGGAGCAGGCCACTGATCCCAACTGTGAGAGATGGGGATTAGAGCCCATACTGGGAATGGGGTGATGGGGAGGGGGGTTGGAAAAGGGGGGATTCCCCAAGGCTTTTTCCTGCAAAGGAGGAAGAAACCCAGGGTAAAACCATGGGGCGAAGAGCCAAGAGCATCTCATGGTACCCAGCACATCCCTCACCAGGCAGATGCAGCTGAGGCACGGGTCCAGGACGGAGGGGAAGGTCTCGTTGTTGTAGAAGATCCTCCCCATGTAAGTGCAGCCTGGAGGGAAAGGGGGGATTTGGGGGGGGGGATAGGGGGTGGAGATGGGTTTGGGGCCCCCATTGAGTCAATGGGGTTGGGAAAGGGGTTTAAGAGCATTGAGTTCAACCCTAAGACAACCATAACCCATAGCACCGTGGCTCCATCCTCCTGTCAAGCAGTTGGAGGCAGCCATCAGGTCCCCCCCTTGAGCCTTCTCTTCCCCATATTGAACCCCCCCACGTCCATCAGCCCTTCCCCATCACTCCAGGCCCTGCATGAGCTCCATTGACCTGTTCCCACCTCCCTGTATCCCTATGGATGGAGCGGATGCGCCCATCAGCATCCTCACCCGCGGAGCAGTCGGGGCAGCACTGCCCAGGGATGCGGATGGGATAGGGACACGTCTCCACGCAGTCTGTCCTCTTGCAGCTCACGGAGCCATCAGCCTGCAGGGGAGAAGCACTTGACCGAGACCTCAGGCTGCCCAAATCCATAGGGATCAATCCAATCCCACCTCCAGAGGAAAGGGAATGCCAGGGATCGTGGCCATGAGGAGCCCGGCGTTCCAAAGGGAGCAGTGGAGCAGAGCAGGTTCTCATTCACCTGGCAGATGCATAACTCACAGGGATCGCCCGGAGACCAGATCTGTCCAATGGGGAGCTCCACGCCGTTGTCATCCAGGAAGCAGCCTTGGGATGGGGATGGCATGGAGGGGACGTGGGTACCGCAGGGATGGAGGTGTGTGTGGTACCCATGGCCCAGCCAGGGAGGGATGTGTGTGTGGTACCCATGGCCCAGCCAGGGAGGGATGTGTGTGTGGTACCCATGGCCCAGCCAGGGAGGGATGTGTGTGTGGTACCCATGGCCCAGCCAGGGAGGGATGTGTGTGTGGTACCCATGGCCCAGCCAGGGAGGGATGTGTGTGTGGTACCCATGGCCCAGCCAGGGAGGGATGTGTGTGTGGTACCCATGGCCCAGCCAGGGAGGGATGTGTGTGTGGTACCCATCACCCAGCCAGGGAGGGATGTGTGTGTGGTACCCATGGCCCAGCCAGGGAGGGATGTGTGTGTGGTACCCATGGCCCAGCCAGGGAGGGATGTGTGTGTGGTACCCATGGCCCAGCCAGGGAGGGATGTGTGTGTGGTACCCATCACCCAGCCAGGGAGGGATGTGTGTGTGGTACCCATCACCCAGCCAGGGATGGATGTGTGTGTGGTACCCATGGCCCAGCCAGGGAGGGATGTGTGTGTGGTACCCATCACCCAGCCAGGGATGGATGTGTGTGTGGTACCCATCGCCCAGCCAGGGATGGATGTGTGTGTGGTACCCATGGCCCAGCCAGGGAGGGATGTGTGTGTGGTACCCATGGCCCAGCCAGGGAGGGATGTGTGTGTGGTACCCATCGCCCAGCCAGGGAGGGATGTGTGTGTGGTACCCATGGCCCAGCCAGGGAGGGATGTGTGTGTGGTACCCATCGCCCAGCCAGGGAGGGATGTGTGTGTGGTACCCATCGCCCAGCCAGGGAGGGATGTGTGTGTGGTACCCATGGCCCAGCCAGGGATGGATGTGTGTGTGGTACCCATCGCCCAGCCAGGGAGGGATGTGTGTGTGGTACCCATGGCCCAGCCAGGGATGGATGTGTGTGTGGTACCCATCACCCAGCCAGGTAGGGATGTGTGTGTGGTACCCATGGCCCAGCCAGGGATGGATGTGTGTGTGGTACCCATCGCCCAGCCAGGGATGGATGTGTGTGTGGTACCCATGGCCCAGCCTCCCCATGCCTCCCTGCTGGTGCCTGTGCACACACATCCAGCTCCCCTGTGTTCCCTACATCCCATCCTCCTTGTCCCAACATCCTCTACATCCCATCCTTCTGGTCCCCATATCCCCTACATCCCATCCTCACTATCGCCCCAATCCCCTTTTCCTTGTCTCCAAGCATCTCTGCCATCCCAGCCCACCCCACCCCATCCCCTTCCATCCCAGCCCACCCGTCGCATCCCATCCCCATCCCACCTCACCTCATCCTCTTCCATCCCAGCCCACACAATCCTGTCCCACCCAATCCTATCCCATCCCATCCCCTCCCATCCCATCCTATCCACCCCATCCCATCCCATCCTATCCACCCCACCCCATCCCATCCCATCCATCCCATCCCATCCCATCCATCCCACCCCATCCCATCCACCCCATCCCATCCATCCCCTTCCATCCCACCCCATCCTCTTCCATCCCATCCCCCAATCCCATCCCACCCCACCCCACCCCACCCCATCCCACCCATCCCACCCATCCCATCCCATCCCACCCCACCCCATCCTCTTCTATCCCACCCCACCAATCCCATCCCACCTCACCCATCCCCCATCCACCCCATCCCATCCCCACCCCACCCCACCACATCTCCTCCCATCCCACCCCATTCTCTTCCATCCCATCCCATCCCATCCCACCCCATCCCATCTTCCCATCACTACCCCATCCCATCCCATCCCATCCCACCCCATCCCATCTTCCCATCCCTACCCCATCCCACCCCATCTCAGCTCCTCCCCTCCATCCCATCTCCACCTTCCCATCCCCATTTCCATCCTACCCCATCCCATCCCTTCCCATTTCCTTCCCATCCCTACCCCATCCCATCCCCATCCCATCCCCTTCCATCCCACCCATCCATCCCCATCCCCACCATCCCATCCCACCCCATCCTCGTCCATCCCACCCATCCCATCCCCATCCCATCCCATCCCATCCCACCCCTGCTCTCACCGGCAGGGGCCGGGGTCTCCCTGCAGCTGAAGCAGCACTGCCCGGGGCTCAGCTGCTGCTGGTGCTGGGGACAATCGAGGGCAGGGCAGGGGGCGAAGGAGCACTCGACCTCGCCAGCCTGGGGACAAGGGACCGGTGACCCCCGGCATGGACCCCCCTGTGCCCCCCGGCCCCCTCCAGTGCCAGGCAAGGACCCCATGGACAGTGCAGGGAGGGCCTGAAGCATCCCTGGTCCCACCCATGTGGATGGTGCAGGAAGGCCTGGAGCATCCCTGGTTCCCATCCATCAGGATAATGAAGGCAAGCCCTGGAGCATCCCTGGTTCCCATCCATCAGGATAATGCAGGGAGGGCCTGGAGCATCCCTGGTTCCCATCCATCAGGATAACACAGGGAAGCCCTGGAGCATCCCTGGTTCCCATCCATCAGGATAACACAGGGAAGCCCTGGAGCATCCCTGGTTCCCATCCATCAGGATAACACAGGGAAGCCCTGGAGCATCCCTGGTTCCCATCCATCAGGATAACACAGGGAAGCCCTGGAGCATCCCTGGTTCCCATCCATCAGGATAACACAGGGAAGCCCTGGAGCATCCCTGGTTCCCATCCATCAGGATAACACAGGGAAGCCCTGGAGCATCCCTGGTTCCCGTCCATCAGGATAACACAGGGAAGCCCTGGAGCATCCCTGGTTCCCATCCATCAGGATAACACAGGGAAGCCCTGGAGCATCCCTGGTTCCCATCCATCAGGATAACACAGGGAAGCCCTGGAGCATCCCTGGTTCCCATCCATCAGGATAACACAGGGAAGCCCTGGAGCATCCCTGGTTCCCATCCATCAGGATAACACAGGGAAGCCCTGGAGCATCCCTGGTTCCCATCCATCAGGATAACACAGGGAAGCCCTGGAGCATCCCCAGTTCCCATCCATAAGGATAATGCAGGGAAGCCCTGCAGCTTCCCTGGTTCCCATCCATAAGGATGATGCAGGGAAGCCCAGGAGCATCCCTGGTTCCCATCCATCAGGATAATGCAGGAAAGACCAGGGGCATCCCTGGTTCCCATCCATCAGGATAATGCAGGAAAGACCAGGAGCATCCCTGGTTCCCATCCATCAGGATAATGCAGGAAAGACCAGGAGCATCCCTGGTTCCTTCTAGCAGGATGGTGCAGGGAAGCCCTGGAGCATCCCTGGTTCCCATCTATCAGGATAACACAGGGAAGCCCTGGAGCATCCCTGGTCCCCCTCCCCATGAGGAGGATACAGGGAAGCCCTGGAGCATCCCTTGGGCCCACAGGACCTACCCTGCAGACGCAGGTGGTGCACTCATCCTCATCCAGGCTGAAGCGGGCACCGTGCGCGTACGTCCGACCCCGAAAGCTGCACTTGGCTGGGGAGCAGGGAGGCAGCAGGAGCAGGAATGGGATCATGGAGCAAAGCAGAGCTCCCCCAGAGCCCCATCCCCATCCCAGCAGGGCCTGGGGTCCCCCTGCCCCACACATCCCAAGGGATGGGGGTCTCGGACCCACCGGGCTGGCAGGAGCAGCAGTCGGATGAGGAGGAGCTGGGGCAGGAGCCAGGGGGGCACTCGGGGGAGATGCAGGAGATGTTCCCAGCCTGTGGAGGGGAGCACGGAGCTGCCACAAGGTCCCACATTCCTCAGGCATGGAGGAAGCAGGGCAGGGCAGCATCCGCAAGAGCGCATCCCAGTCCATGAGCCCCAATTGGGATGCAGGGGGATGCTCCCTGTCCTTGGGGATGAGGAGGATGGGATGCAGGGATCAGGGGGACAAGGAAGATGGGATGCAGGGGACATAGGGACAAGGAGGATGGGATGTAGGGGATGTGGGGAAAAGGAAGATGGGATGCAGGATTATGGGGCCAAGGAGGATGGGATACAGGAGACACATGGGGACAAGGAGGATGGGATGCAGGAGATGTGGGCCCAGAGGGGATGGGATGCAGGGATCATGGGGACAAGGAGGATGGGATGCAGGGATGCAGGGACACAAGGAGGATGGGATGCAGGGGACATGGACACAAGGAGGATGGGATGCAGGGGACATGGACACAAGGAGGATGGGATGCAGGGGACATGGACACAAGGAGGATGGGATGCAGGGGACATGGACACAAGGAGGATGGGATGCAGGGGACATGGACAGGAGGATGGGATGCAGGGGACATGGACACAGAGGGATGGGATGCAGGGGACATGGACACAAGGAGGATGGGATGCAGGGGACATGGACACAAGGAGGATGGGATGCAGGGGACATGGACACAAGGAGGATGGGATGCAGGGGACATGGACACAAGGAGGATGGGATGCAGGGGACATGGACACAAGGAGGATGGGATGCAGGGGACATGGACACAAGGAGGATGGGATGCAGGGGACATGGACACAAGGAGGATGGGATGCAGGGGACATGGGGACAAGGAGGATGGGATGCAGGGGACATGGACACAAGGAGGATGGGATGCAGGGGACATGGACACAAGGAGGATGGGATGCAGGGGACATGGACACAGAGGGGATGGGATGCAGGGGACAATGGACACAAGGAGGATGGGATGCAGGGGACATGGACACAAGGAGGATGGGATGCAGGGGACATGGACACAAGGAGGATGGGATGCAGGGGACATGGACACAAGGAGGATGGGATGCAGGGGACAATGGACACAAGGAGGATGGGATGCAGGGGACAATGGACACAAGGAGGATGGGATGCAGGGGACATGGGGACAAGGAGGATGGGATGCAGGGGACATGGACACAAGCAGGATGGGATGTAGGGGACATGGACACAAGGAGGATGGGATGCAGGGATTATGGACACAAGGAGGATGGGATGCAGGGGACATGGACACAAGGAGGATGGGATGCAGGGGACATGGACACAAGGAGGATGGGATGCAGGGGACATGGGCACAAGGAGGATGGGATGCAGGGATCATGGACACAAGGAGGATGGGATGCAGGGGACATGGACACAAGGAGGATGGGATGCAGGGGACATGGACACAAGGAAGATGGGATGCAGGGGACATGGGCACAAGGAGGATGGGATGCAGGGGACAATGGACACAAGGAGGATGGGATGCAGGGGACAATGGACACAAGGAGGATGGGATGCAGGGGACATGGACCAAGGAGGATGGGATGCAGGGGACATGGACCAAGGAGGATGGGATGCAGGGATGCAGGGACACAAGGAGGATGGGATGCAGGGGACATGGACACAAGGAGGATGGGATGCAGGGGACATGGACACAAGGAGGATGGGATGCAGGGGACATGGACACAAGGAGGATGGGATGCAGGGGACATGGACACAAGGGGGATGGGATGCAGGGGACATGGACACAAGGAGGATGGGATGCAGGGAACATGGACACAGAGGGGATGGGATGCAGGGGACATGGACACAAGGAGGATGGGATGCAGGGGACATGGACACAAGGAGGATGGGATGCAGGGGACATGGACCAAGGAGGATGGGATGCAGGGGACATGGACACAAGGAGGATGGGATGCAGGGATGCAGGGATGCAGGGATGCAGGGACACAAGGAGGATAGGATGCAGGGATGCAGGGATGCAGGGACAAGGGGGATGCCGGCTGCTCACCAGGCAGACACAGACGGTGCAGTTCCCATCGGACAAGGAGAAGACGTCACCCTCAGCCCGGGCCACCCCTTCGTGCAGGCAGCCTGTGGGACCAGGGGGGTCAATGGGGCTGCCCCATGCAATGGGGCTGGGATGGGAGGGGTTTGGGGCTCACCTGCACAAGTGGGGCAGCAGCTCCCGCTCGGAGCAGGCAATGGATGGGAACAGGGCACAGTGGGGCAGGTCACGGCCTCACAGAGCACTTGTCCCCCCTGCATGGGCACAGGGGGGCTCAGCAGGGCCATGGGGGTCTGGGGGGGTGACATAAGGAGGGGGATACGATGCTCACCAGGCAGGAGCAGCTCCTGCATCCCGGCTCCATCCATCGAGCACCGGGATCCCTTGGGATGCCCCGGTCCCAGCAGCGCGGGGCTGATGGGGTGGAGGATGCAGGAGCTCCGTGTTGGGATGGCTCCGTTGCTGGGAACACCGGAGAGGAAGGAGGGAATTGGGTCCCGGGAGCCGCAGCGGGGAGCTGGGATGAAGGGGAGCCCCTGGGGACCAATAGGGATGCTCCGGATCCAGGCGGAGGGAGCAGGAGCAGGGTGGGAGGATGCTGCAGGGATTGAAGGATGGGCGATGGCGCCAGGATGGATTTGGGGTAACCTGGTTAAAGAGGGAACGAGCATCACATGGGGTAGGGAATGGGAGCATCCCGCTCCGCTTCCCAGCGCCAACCCATAGGGCATGGATACCTTCACAGGACACCCTATCCCCACTGAGGCGGTACCCAGGCCGGCAGGAGCATTGGAAGCTGCCTGGGGTGTTGTGGCAGGAGTGCTGGCACGCACGGCGCTCCCCGGGCCTCCGGCACTCGTTGACATCTGGGAACAAGGGGATGTGGCAGCGACATCCCGGGAATGTCGCTGGCATCCCAAGGATGGGCTAAGGATGAGGATGAGGCGGTAACAGCAAATCAATGGGGTCAAGGGTCGCTGCATCCCATTGGGATTGGTGGTGCGGGGAGGGAAGCGGGGTTGGGATGCGGTGCTCACCCACACAGGAGTGCCTGTTCCCATGGAGATGGTACCCGGGCCGGCAGGAGCAGCGGTAGCTGCCGATGCTGTTCTTGCAGTGATGCTGGCATGGGGTGGCCAAGCACTCATCTGTGTCTGCAGGGAGAGGATCGTGGGGTCATGGGATGGGATGGGGTGGGATGGGATGGGATGGGATGGGATGGGATGGGGTGGGATGAAGGGAGCTGGAAGCTGCTCCAACCCCAACCCCTTCCATTGGAGCAAGGTGCTCCAAGCCCCTGGGGCCTTGAACACAGCCAGGGATGGGGCAGCCACAGCTCCTCTGGGCACCCTCATACTGAAGGATTCCTTCCTTACATCCAAGCTGCATCCCCCCTTTTCACTCTGAACCCATCACCCCTCATCCATCACTCCCATCCCTGATGGAGAATCCATCCCCAGCATCCCTGCATCCCCTTCACACACTGAAGCTGCTCTGAGCTCCCCACACAGCCCCAGTGCCCCCAGCCTGGCTCCATCCGGGCCCTGCTCCATCCCCGGAGCATCCCCACTGAGGATGCTGAGGACACCACAACCGGATGCAGCATCCCCCCCCCCAATCACCCCCATTCCTTGCTCCCGTTCCGTGCCCCGCACCCCGGCATCGGTGCCGGTCGGCAGAGAGCTGCATCCCGGGGCCGCACTCGCAGACGAAGCCGCCCTCGGTGTTCACGCAGCGCCCCTCGCAGGCCGCGCTCAGGCACTCGTCGATGTCTGCGGGGTGGGAAGGGAGCGATGGAGATGCGGGACCATCCCCCCCCATATCCCCATCCCCATCCATCCCCATCCCATCCCCATCCCCATCCCATCCCCATCCCCATCCCATCCCATCCATCCCCATCCCATCCATCCCATCCCCATCCAATCCCATCCCATCCCCATCCACCCATCCCATCCCCTCCCATCCATCCCCATCCCCATCCCCATCCCCATCCCCCCATCATCCCCCATCCATCCCCCATCCCATCCCCATCCATCCCCCATCCCCCATCCCATCCCCATCCCCATCCATCCCCATCCCCATCCCATCCCCATCCATCCCATCCCATCCCCCATCCCCATCCCCATCCCCATCCCCATCCCCATCCCATCCCCATCCATCCCCATCCCATCCCCATCCCCATCCCCATCCCCATCCCCATCCCATCCCCATCCCCATCCCCATCCCCATCCCCATCCCATCCCCATCCCATCCCCATCCCCATCCCCATCCATCCCCATCCCATCCCCATCCTATCCACATCCCATCCCCATCCCCATCCCATCCCATCCCCATCCCCATCCCATCCCCATCCCCATCCCCTCCCCATCCCCATCCCCCTCCCATCCCCATCCCATCCCCATCCCATCCCATCCCCATCCCCATCCCCATCCCCTCCATCCCCATCCCCATCCCATCCCCATCCCCACCCCCATCCCCATCCATCCCCATCCCCATCCATCCCCATCCCCATCCCCATCCCCATCCCCATCCCAATCCCCATCCCCATCCCCATCCCCATCCCCATCCCATCCCCATCCCCATCCCCATCCCATCCCCATCCCCATCCATCCCCATCCCACCATCCCATCCCCATCCCCATCCCATCCCCATCCCAATCCCCATCCCCATCCCCGCATCCCTCCCTCCATCCCCTCCCTGCACCTCTCACCGGTGCAGCGGATCCCGTTGGAGGTCTCCACCATGGAGAAGCCGAGCGGGCAGACGCGGGCCACCTCCTGGCACCCACCCTGGTTACAGGCCAGGTCGCAGCCGTACTCCCCGCACGTCCCCGGGGGCTCTGGGACAGGGACATTGGGGACCAGAGGGAGCCGGGTACCAGCCCGGAACCAGCCCATTGGAGCCCATGGGGATGGCAGCGGGAGGGAGCATCCCTGCCCCTACCGGGGATGGGGATGGGGATGCGGGGATGCGGGGATGCGGGGGATGCAGGGATGCAGGGATGCAGGGATGCAGGGGGCGGTACCTGCGCAGGTGATGCCCTGCTCGCCATCGGGGCAGGAGCAGAGGTTGGGAGCGATGCAGAGCCCAGAGCCGCAGCCGAAGGGGCACAGGGCTGCGGGCAGAGGGGGTGAGCAGCCATGGGGAGGGCAGAGACCCCCACAGATGGGCCCGTGAGCACATTCCTCACACAGGGACCCCCATATCCCCCCTATAAGCCCGTTCCTCACATAGGGACGCCCATATCCCCCCTATGAGCCCATTCCCCACACAGGGACCCCCATAGACGGGCCCGTGAGCCCATTCCTCACACAGGGAACCCCAAATCTCCCCCATGAGCCCATTCCTCATGCAGGGACCCCCATATCCCCCCTATGAGCCCATTCCTAAAACAGGGATCCCCCTTTCCCCCCTCTGAGCCCATTCCCCACACAGGGACTCCCATATCTCCCCATTACTCACATAGAGACCCCCATACCCCCCCTATGAGCCCATTCCTCACACAGAGACCCCCATATCCCCCATTCCCTACACAGGGACAGCCATACCTCCCCATTACTCACATAGGGACCCCCATATCCCCTGTATGAGCCCATTCCCCACACAGGGACCCCCATAGCCCCATTTCCCACACAGGGACCCCCGTACCCCCCATTCCCCACACAGGGACCCCCGTACCCCCATTCCCCACACAGGGACCCCCGTACCCCCCATTCCCACCCATAGAGACCCCCGTACCCCCCATTCCCCACACAGGGACCCCCATACCCCCCATTCCCCACACAGGGACCCCCATACCCCCCATTCCCCACACAGGGACCCCCATATCCCCATTCCCCACACAGGGACCCCCGTACCCCCCATCCCCACACAGGGACCCCCGTACCCCCCTTCCCCACACAGGGACCCCCGTACCCCCATTCCCCACACAGGGACCCCCGTACCCCCATCCCCCACACAGGGACCCCGTACCCCCATTCCCCCCATAGAGACCCCCGTACCCCCCTTCCCCACACAGAGACCCCCGTACCCCCCATTCCCCACACAGGGACCCCCGTACCCCCCATTCCCCACACAGGGACCCCCATACCCCATTCCCACCATAAGCCATACCCCCATTCCCCACCAGGGACCCCCATCCCCATTCCCCCCATAGAGACCCCCCATCCCCATTCCCCACACAGGGACCCCCATACCCCCATCAGACCCCCGTATCCCCATTCCCCACACAGGGACCCCCATACCCCCCATTCCCCACACAGGGACCCCCATACCCCCATTCCCCACACAGAGACCCCCGTACCCCCATTACTCACGCAGGGTGCACTGCCCGCTGCCCGGGGCCAGCATCCACCCGGGACAGCATCCGCTGCCCAAGGCGGAGATGCAGACGTGGGGACCCAAGCGGCGCCTGTGGGAGGGATGCGGGGATGAGGCTGAACCCATCCCAGCCCCTTGGGGCCTCCCCCTTGAGCCAATGGGGACCCCCTGGCCATGGGGATGGGGGGTAAGGGGATGCCCATGGGGATACAAAGGGATGAAGGGGGAGAGTGACCCCCGAAACAAGAGGGATGGAGGCAATGCTGTGCTCCCAATGTAACTGAATGAGGGGATAAGGGAGCAGGATGAGGATGCAGGGGGAGAGTGACCCCAGAAACAAGAGGGATGGAGGGAATGCTGTGCTCCCAATGTAACTGAATGAGGGGATAAGGGAGGAGGATGAGGATGCAGGGGGAGAGTGACCCCAGAAACAAGAGGGATGGAGGATGCTGTGCTCCCAATGTAACGAATGAGGGGATAAGGGGCAGGATGAGGATGCAGGGGAGAGGCCAGAACAAGAGGGATGGAGGATGTGTGCTCCCAATGTAACTGAATGGGGGATGGGAGCAGGATGAGGATGCAGGGGGAGAGTGACCCCAGAAACAAGAGGGATGGAGGGAATGCTGTGCCCCAATGGAACTGAATGAGGGGATAAGGGAGCAGGATGAGGATGCAGGGGGAGAGTGACCCCAGAAACAAGAGGGATGGAGGGAATGCTGTGCTCCCAATGTAACTGAATGAGGGGATAAGGGAGCAGGATGAGGATGCAGGGGGAGAGTGACCCCAGAAACAAGAGGGATGGAGGGAATGCTGTGCTCCCAATGTAACTGAATGAGGGGATAAGGGAGCAGGATGAGGATACACAAGGAAAAGTGACCCCAGAAACAAGAGGGATGGAGACAATGCTGTGCCCCAAAGGAACTGAATGAGGGGATAAGGGAGCAGGATGGGGATGCAGGGGGAGAGTGACCCCAGAAACAAGAGGGATGGAGGGAATGCTGTGCTCCCAATGGAACTGAATGAGGGGATAAGGGAGCAGGATGAGGATGCAGGGGGAGAGTGACCCCAGAAACAAGAGGGATGGAGGGAATGCTGTGCCCCAACATATCCCAGAGGCAGTGACAAGGGAGCAGGACATGGATGTAGGGGATACAGTGACCCCCGAAACAAGTAGGATGGAGACAGAGCTGTGCCCCAAAGCAACCCGAACCCAGTGATAAGGGAGCAGGACATGGATGCAGGGGGAGATTGACCCCCGAAACAAGTGGGATGGAGGGAATGCTGTACCCCAAAGCAACCCGAACGCAGTGATAAGGGAGCAGAATGTGGATACATAGGGAAAAGTGACCCCAGAAACAAGAGGGATGGAGGGAATGCTGTGCTCCCAATGTAACTGAATGAGGGGATAAGGGAGCAGGATGCGGATACACAGGGAAAAGTGACCCCAGAAACAAGAGGGATGGAGACAGATCCATGCCCCAGCGCAACCCAAAGGCAGGGATAAGGGAGCAGGATGCGGATACACAGGGATGAGTGACCCCAGAAACAAATGGGATGGAGACAGAGCCATTCCCCAAAGCAACCCGAACGCAGTGATAAGGGAGCAGGATGGGGATGCAGGGGAAGAGTGACCCCCGAAACAAATGGGATGGAGACAGAGCCATTCCCCAAAGCAACCCGAAGGCAGGGATAAGGGAGCAGGATGGGGATGCAGGGGAAGAGTGACCCCCGAAACAAATGGGATGGAGACAGAGCCGTGCCCCAAAGCAACCCGAACCCAGCGCTGATGGAGCAGGACGCGGATGCAGCAGCGAGGACCCCCGGGGCCGGGCAGCACCGCCCGGGTCCGGTTTGTCTCGGTTGGATCCAGGTGTAGCTGGGAGCAAGGCAAGGACGGGAAGGAGGAAGAAGGGAGAACCCCCCCCCCCATCCCCATCCCCATCCCCATCCCCATCCCCATCCCCATCCCCGGTACCTCTGGACCGCAAAGCCGGGCGGGTTCTTCCTCCCGGGGTGCGCCGAGCCCGGGGCACCGGGGCCGAGGAGGGAGGCGGCGGCAGCGAGGAGCAGCAGCGCCCGCAGCATGACCGGGGGCTTGCGGCTCGCTCCTGCCTCGCTCCGCAGCCTGGGCCCTTGGCCCTGCTCCTCCTCCTCCTCCTCCCGGCTTCCACAATGCGGGGGGTGGAGGGGAGGCGAGAGCAGGGAGGGGGGGATCCCATCGGATGGGGATGCTCGCACCCAGTCTGGTTCCTATGGATGGGGCTCGGCCATAGGGAGCAAGGGGGGGGCACACTCAGGGTTGCAGGGAATGGGGGACCCCCCCCCCTTTCTCCCTTTCCCACATCTGGCAAAGCTCCGGCCTGGCCTCTCCCCACCGCTCCTCCTCCTCCTCCTCCTGGAGGCACTGGGCCGCCTGCCCGGCTCTGCACTGGGACCCACCAGAGAGGAGCACGCAGGGGCCAAAGTGATGCTGAGGGGGTGGTTTTGGGGGGGGGGGGTACCAGTGCAATGGGGTCACCCCCAACCAAGCAATTCCTTCCCCCCCACCCCATCCCATTCCATCTCATCCCAACCAAAGGCCAGGGGCTGGAGCAAAGGTCGCAGGCAGGTAAATGATTGATAGGAGGGAGCAAAGGGCGGGTGCTGCTCCCGGGTTAAGCCCTGCAGGGGCCAGGTCCCCATTCCATAAGGATTTTTCCTTCCCCCTCCCATATAGCCCTATCCAAGGTTGGGGTCACCAAAGCAGGATCCAGCATCAGGCACCCCCTGCATGCTTAGAAGTGAGGGTTAAAGGGGAATAGGGTGGGTTTAGGGGGGGATCTGCAGGGTGGTCACGGACATGATCCCAATGCTGGGATAGGGATGGAGCAGGGGCAGTGCATGGGATAAACACCCACCATAGGAGCACAGTAAAGGGGGGATGCTGGCAGCATCACAGGAGCCATGCAGAGCCAGGCTGATGTGGTCCTTGGAGCCCCCCAGTTGTAGAGGGGGGGGATGTCCAAGGAAGAAGGATGCAGGATGCTGCCCACCTCCTGCTGCTGCTGGAGGGTTTAGGGAAAACCTGCCCAGGATGGGGTACAGGGATCTTAACGTGAGGGGTTATGGATGGGGATCATGCACTGGGTGAGATCCAATGGGCAGAGACATGGGAAGAGCTTCTTCCTTGTATCCAACCTGAACGTGCCCTGGTTCAGTTTGAAGCCATCACCCCTTGTCCTATCCAGCCCCTGATGAAGAGGAGTAGCAGAGAGGGGGTCTGGTCCCCCTCTTCCCTATGGAGAAGGTGATGGAGCAGACGATGTCCCACAAGAGGCAGGCTCAGGTAATGCGCAGTCAATGGGATGATGCAAGATGAAGCTGACATCGCATCCTGATCCCCCCAGATCCATAGGGATGTGGGTTGACCACAAGGAAAAGGCTACTGACTGCAATCCACTCCACTACTGGTGCCTGCTTCCATGGTCCGACAAGCTCCCAAGTGCTGCTGCTCCAGGGCCAGGAATGCATGGGATAGTGTCTAAATGCAGGGGGGAAAATGCCTTGCAGCGGGAAGGGGGAATCCCTGCGGGTGCCAGCAGCCAAACCTTTTCCTTGGACTACTTTATTTGGTAAAACTCAGCAACCACCAACTGCTCCCAGAGCTTCCCTCCTGGAGTGAGCCCCAGATCCTGTGCTGAGAGGAGCATCCCTGCTCGGCTTCAGCACTTGGGATGCAGAGGAATCCTCCTCCTCATGCTCCATGTCTCACCCCCAACCCCAGCCCTCACCCCTGGGGCAGCTCTGCTTCCTCTTCCAAAGAAATCCCAACGAATCCAAAGCAAAACAAGAAGGAACAAGCTAAAGACAGCAGTGAAGAGGGAATCCAGGCCAGGGCATCCCATCGGCCTCAGCACAGCGATCACTTCCGGGGCTGCAGAGTCCATAGGATTCCTAAATCCAAGCAGGAGATGATGCAGTGCCCTCAAAGAAGCTGGATCCCCTCCAGAGCATCCTTCCCCCATGGCCCCCATGGCTGGGGTTTGGTGCAGGGTCAGGGGGGGAAGATTCCTTTGCACTCCATGGAGGAAGGTGGTTGGGAATGAGCCCAAATCCTAATGGATCCGGGTGAGCTCCTCCACTATCTTTATGAGGTCGTCCACGGTGGCTTCCCTCTTCATGCCACTGCCATCATCAATCTGCAAGGAGAGGAGGGCTCAGAGCTTGGAGGCAGCAGGAAGAGGCTCAAGAACATCCCCAGCTCATGGCCTTGGAGGAAGGGAGCGGATGGGATCTACTCCTTTAGCACAGCCTGGATTCCCGAGTGGGATTGGGAAGGATCCAAGAGGGAGGAACCCCCATCTCACCTGCAGGTTTGCCACCACCTCCTGCATCTTGGGCCTGCTGATGTCCAGGAAGCTCTCGATCAGGTCACCATCAATGAACCCCGTGGCTGGCTCCGTCTTGCGCTCGGTGTGAAACGATCTCCAGGTACCACAGTCAAGGAGCCAAAGCCATTGGGAATAAACCAAATCCAGAAGGAATAATAAGCCCAACCCTAGTGGGGAGCACAGCAGATGCCCCCATGCTGCCAGTGCCACATCAGGAGGATCCCAGGGCCACCACCAAGCCAGATTGAACCTTAACCCCCCCAAGACAGAGCCATCCCTACCTCCTCTATGAGCACAAAGCCCTGTGTTGGCACCTGAGGACCTCACAACCACCCTCTCCATCACTTGATGACCTTAAGGTCCTTTCCAACCCTAACTATTCTATGATGTCCATCCCAACCAGAGCATCCCAACAGGAATAAACCTCTCCAACCCTCCACAAGCACAGTGCTCCAGAGGGAATGGTGGAAGGATATAAGGAATGCTCAATCTTGCCCACGCTCTTGATGACTTTATTCAGCCTGTTCTGCATGTCCAAGAGGAGGTTGTACCAGCTCTCTGACAGTGAGGTCACCAGGCCTGTGAAGGGGAAAGCAGAGGTAAAGGATCCAGGGCTCATCCCAGCAGCCTCCTGGGACTGGAATTGTGCTGGGAGAGATGGGAGACCCAGAGGACTTCCCTCTTCTGGAAGCAATCCAGAGGTTTCTGAAGGGATTATGAGTGAGGAATGGAGAAGAGCAGAGACCCAAGGGAACCCAGCTCAGGATCAGCAGCAGGGATGAGACCCTTACCAATCATGCCATTGACTGTGCCGAAGAGAACGGAGCCCTGGGTGGGTGTGGAGGTCTCCCCCAGGTTCTGCATGACCAGAGATCCATGGCAGAAGACATTGACAAACTCCCCCAGGTGGGACAAGCCCACCTCCTGCAAGTGCTGACGCTCCTCATCGGTCGTGGCTGCGCTGTAAGGCAAAGCATCCTGGTTACCCTGTGTTGGGGGAGCCTGAGACCTTGCTCTGCTCTGCCCCCCTTCATTCCTCAGGGCTGGGTATGCTCCTCTCCCTAGTTGGGATGTGGAGGGGACCAGAAGGTCCTGTCCCTGCAGCTCACCTGTCCTTCTGGCACACAAACAGGTTGAAAGCATTCTCTGCTCCCAAGAAGTTGTCATCGTCCAGGATCTCCACAGCACTCATCCAGTTTGGATTGAAGTCCCGGGCAATCTGGAAAGGGCCAAGAGGAGACCCAGTGAGCCCAGATGGCTCTTCCTTGTCATCCAGCATCATCATTCCAACCCAGCAGCACCACTCAAGAGTGAGGATCCAGGCTGGCCTCCCTGCTGGAGTGGGAAAGGGCACCAAGTGCCTTCTGGACATGGCCCATGTGGTGCTCAGGTGATGCCACAGCATTCCCATGGCAAACCCAGAGAGCCCAAAGCCTAACAGAGGAAGTGCCTGCTCCATCCCCCCACTGCCAGAGCTGCAGCTATGGTCACACTGAGCTCTTCCAACTGGACAACAGGCACTCCAGATGGCAGCTCCCCAGCCTGGCAGGCAGCAAGCATGCACCCACAGTGTGCTCTTCTCCAGGCTGTTGGTACATTGCCCAGTTCCTTGGGAAGGCCAAAGATCCATCCCTCCACAAACCACAGGGATGCATGTGGAAGCATGCCTGGGTGATGCTGCTCTCATTGCACAGCCCTAGATCATAGAAGGGATTGGATTGGAAAGGTCCTTAAAGCTCCTGCAGTTCCAACCTCCCTAGAGCAGGTTATCTCCAACCTTCCACTAGAGCAGGTTATCTCCAACCTGAACTTGCCCTGTTTCAGTCTGAACCCATCACCCCTCATCCCATCACTGCAGTCATTGATGAAGAGTCCCTCTGCAGCATCCTTGCAGCCCCCTTAAGGCACTGGAAGCTTCTCTCCATGATCTCTGCCTCCAAAGGGCTGCAAGGTGAGCCAGACTCCTAGCACCTTCAACGCACCTCCTCGAAGTTCCCTTCCATGGGCTTGTATGCGAGGAGGAGCACGGACCTCATGAGGTCTCCCACCAGGATGAAGTCCCCTTTGGTCTTCAGGTAGAGGGCCATGATGTTGTTGTAGTGGTTGCACTCCGTGCGCAGCTCCTTCTCTGCTGTCCACTCATAGAGGCGCACCTGAAGGCAGGGGCAGTGCTCTGAGCCCCCACGGACACCCCACAGCAGCCAGGCCAGGCTCCTCCATAGGGATCAGGGACCTGACTGGTATCCAAAGGTGTTCCCAAAACAAGGCAGGGTCTTAGAGCCTTACCGTGCTGTTGATGCTGGCTAAGAGCTTCCCATTGAATTCCACCATGGAATACACGGCTCCCTTGACCTCCTTCTCAGCCAGGCTCTGCAGCTTCCCTGGAATAAAGCCATGCAGCACATCACAGTATCACAGTATCACAGTATGTTAGAGATTGGAAGGGACCTCATAAGATCATCCAGTCCAATCCCCCTATGGAGCAGGAACACCCAGATAAGGTTACACAGGAACGTGTCCAGGTGGGTTTTGAATGTCTCCAGAGAAGGAGACTCCACAACCTCCCTGGGCAGCCTGGTCCAGTGTTCTGTCACCCTCACTGAGAAGAGGTTTAAGTGGAACCTCTTGTGTTCCAGTTTGTACCCATTGCCCCTTGTCCTATCATTGTTTGCCACTGAGAAGAGCCTGGCTCCATCCTCGGGACACTCCCCCTTTATATATTTATATGCACTAATAAGGTCACCCCTCAGTCTCCTCTTCTCCAAACTATAGAGACCCAGCTCCCTCAGTCTGTCCTCATAAGGGAGATGCTCCACTCCCTTCATCATCTCAGTTGCCCTGCGCTGGACTCTCTCCAGCAGGTCCCTGTCCTTCTTAAACCGAGGGGCCCAGAACTGGACCCCATGTTCCAGATGGGGTCTCACCAGGGCAGAGTAGAGGGGAAGGAGGACCTCTCTCCACCTACTAACCACCCCCCTTCTAATACACCCCAGGATGCCATTGGCCTTCTTGGCCACGAGGGCACAGTGTCGGCTCATGGTCACCCTGTCGTCCACCAGGACCCCCATGGTTATTTTCCTTGCATTGCCAAGGGTGGCAAAGCAAAGGGAGTCACAGGAGCTGCTCTAAACATTGTTCTCTTTGAGGATCTGTAGGCAAGTAACACAAGGAGTGATGTGACAGCAGGGGCACACTGAGGAATCCCAGGATCCTGGCAAAGGATTCCTGGGCTTCTCTAGGAGATGGGAGCAGTGACAGCCCCTACAGATCCTGCCTATGGGCAGCTTACAGCAGGAGCCTCTGGTCAAACTCCACCTGCTCCTGGCACATGAGCCCTTTTGGGTGTGAGGAGCTCATCCCTGCTCCCATCCCCAGCAGCTGAACTCAGCCCCAGGAGAAGACCTCACTCTTACCATCGGAGTAGTGGAAGACCACGATGCGGCCCTGCTTGGGCTCTGCCTCCTCGGGATACACCATGGCAGTGCCCACGATGAAGTAGGTGTTGGGGTCCTTGCCAAGCTTGCAGGAGACCAGGCTGAGGGCGTACTCGTTCTGTAGGAACTGGTGAGCATGAAGCACTGTGCACAAAGGGAGAGGCAGAAGACAGCTGAGTCCTCCTAGGTCCTGGTAGAGCTTAAGACTTAAGCCATGTCCCAAGCAGATCCCATCTCCTGTCTCCTCGTGCTATCAAACCCCACTATGCCTTCAACCTGTGTCCTGGGGCTGATCCTCCACCAGGAAACACATTGTGGCCAAAGGAACACAGGAGATCAGAGATCTCCCCATCCCCACACTCATGGCCTTGTCCTGGAGGAGAAAACCAGACCTTGGGGTTGGTACCTTCAAAGGTGTGCTGATCTATGATGAGCAGGTTGTGCACCTCCACCTCCTCTCCAAAGGATGTCTCATGGGGGGCTGTGCTGCTGGAGAACAGCTTGCTGGTGCTCACACTGCTGGAGAGGGCCTAGGACACACAGAGTCAGTCACATCCTTGTGCTATCACCGTGTCCTCACGCTGCTCTACATGGGCTGAGGCAGCCAGAGAGCAGGCAAAGGAATGGGAGAGGTGACACAAGGAGCATCCTGGGCCCCA